ATCCGGGGCGCGGCCCAGGCTTGCTGACGGCCTGTCGCCGCGGCTTGATAATCGCGGAGAGCTGGGCCTTGCGCGAGAGGAAGACGGTGGAGTCCGGTGAGGCATATCTGGAGGTTTGTTTTGCCTTTTGCCCTTCTTTGGGGTTGGGGTGGACTCGGGAGAGAGGTTAGTTAAATGCAGATTTGTGTACAAGTCATATAATTCTGCTTTGTTTAACTTGTGTGAAGGTTGGACATCGGATTTGGTCAGCGCTTGCCTCAGACTCGACACGGTCCACTTTCCTATTGGTGGAATCGTTGGTCTGGCCGAGCGATAGGAGGACGCCGGGGAGTCGACTGGGGTTCTCGCCCGAGGTGGCGAGGGTAGGCCTAGGCGTCTTGGGTAACAAAGAGTGAAAAATTTAAGGGGGTCTGAATACTTTCCGTACCCACTGTATATCATGGTGTTGATTAACTTGAGTGCGCTCCACCTGTGTTAATTAGGCTAAGTATCTGACGCGCTCCTCCCGAACCTTGTTAATAAAACATCATTTAGAGTAGCACTTGTTGTATGTCATTTCTCCAGACATGGTTTTATGTTTACACAGCGCGATACGCAATGCAAAGCGTAAAAAGACAGTATAAGGGGCCATTCACATGTCGCGCCTAAAAATGCGTGGAAAACGCTAGGCGCGCCGCTTTCTGCTTTTTCCCCAAAGCGTTCGGGCGCGCCTGCCGCGCGTCTACATTTGAAATAACGAACTTGAGCGCGCAAAAGACGCGATATGTGAACGGCCCCTAAGTCATTATAATCAGTAATTATGTCCCCACTGGATGCAACAAATGCCTAGTTTGTAATGGGTTTTATTGTTTTTGTTTTGTCGCGCCGGGACACGGCATCACAGTATGGTAACATTTCCGTTACACGCTTCAGGTATTCAGCCAATCACAACACACTGGCCCTATTCCTTCCACTATAGAAAAGTGAAGCCAAAGCATCTCAGTATGGCCGCTGCCATCTTGAGTAAATGACGTCATTTGTAGCCAGAGTCTGCGCAGTAGAGCTTCGTTTGCAGCCCGAGTCTGCGCAGTAGTGTCGTGAGGTGGAGCCGCGGTATCAAACTCCCGCCCAAACTCCCTCAGACCCAATCAACCATAACGACACGCCCCGTTTTTATAGCATCAAATTACTAGCTAAAATCAAACTTATCACAAAAACGAACAATTGAACATATATCAGCGTAATAACAACTACACTGTAAAAAAAAAAACGGTGACTTTTACGGTAAAATACCAGCAGCTGTGGTTGCCAGAACTTCACTGTAAAAAATATGGTAGCAACATTTTAGGTTTTACAGACTTAACTTAAATTCACAATAAAATACCGTATTTCATTAACTGATGTAATGTTAATAAACCAACATATTGAAGTACTAATATCTGTTTTGAACCATTGTAATGCACTGAAAACCACCAAAAACAGGTGGTGATGAGAAAGTCACATGATGAACCAAAGCTCATCACAAACAGCTTTTCTACGAACTGAGGAGGGCAATACTTAGAAGGTGCACACAGTGTCATTCACACAAACACTAAACCCCATCATGGTGACACACATGATACTGAAATAATGCAATAAACATTAATTTAACAACATTAGATGTAAGATTAAACCATAATGTACACAACTGATGAGAAAAAAACTAAAAAGAAACATGTTATTTCAACAACAAAAAAACATCAAATATGAGGTGTCATGCAGGGAATTCTGGGAGTGTCAATTTACGTTTTTTCACTGTAAATTATACAATGACTTTTTCTTTTTCACTTCCAAAAACCGTATTTTTAACAGTATTTTACTGTAAAATTACATTAAATGTAATTACATTTATTCCCATAATATAGTATAGAAACTAATTGTTAACCAGTTAACAGGTTTTTACTGTAGCATTTTTACAGTCTTTTACTGTTAAAATCACAGTCTTTTTTACAGTGTACCTTAAATGACCAAAACCATCTTTCGGAAAATTGTATTGGTAGTGTCATTTATTTTTTTATTTTAACTCAAGTCCCATTCGTTTACATGGAGAGGGCGGGGGTTATGACCTGTACTGCAGCCAGCCACCAGGGTGCGATCAAAGAGCCTGCAGCTTAACTTTTCAGGACGTGTCAGGCACACCCGGTTGTAAATTACTCTACAAACATACACCTTTGTTTGCGTTTGTCTGTTGCGTGGCAACCACTTTGTTGCAACCACAACTGATTCTGAGGAACTACATTGTTTGGTGGAAGAATACTGTTTTTATTCATATGATTACACTAAATTTGCTATTTTATTTTTTGAAACCTTACTACCTCTATGGAAAAACCGTTTTATAAAAGCAATAAGCCCAGTGAAGCCGTGGTTTACAGAGAATTTATAACAGCTAAGGGGGGTTTTAACAACGCCCCTTAGCTGTTATAAATTCACTGTAAACCACGGCTTCTTGGGGCTTTCATAATAGTGTATAATATTTCATAAAATAATGAAATATTTCATAATTTATGTCATAATTCATCATTTGTTCATAATTGTGATCTACAAAAGTAAAATAAGTTATACAGGTAATTTTTTGGTCACATGTCCCTGCTCTCCGTAACTTAAAAAAAAAAAGAAAAGAAAAAAAAGATCCAAAATCAATCATTGAGCAAGTACATAACCAATCAGCAGCAGTAACTCTCTATACTGGCACTCTTTTGTGCGTACCGCGGCACTTCTGACGTGTTACACCTGTTGTAAAGCGTCAGTGTCAGTGAGTGATTAGAAATGACACTATAAAGCACACTACCCAGGAGGTCATTTGAAACCAGTAAACTTCTGGAAAGTTCATGAATCCAGTAAGGGAATGCATTAGTAATAAGTAATAAGTTCAAAACAGCACTAATGCAGAGAAAACACGGACGATTTAATCAGAGATGGTACATTCATCAGCAGTAACTACAGAATTAATTATGACATTGCTTATAAACATGTACTTAAGTACTTACGTGGGTCAAATTGCATTTAATATAAATGTAAACTATTATACAGTTTCATTATTTGCAATCAACATGCAATAAGCATCCAAAAACATTATATTAAGTTCACATTTAATATTATTTTAAAGTATATTTCAGTACTCTTTTTTTAAATTGTCAAAGTTACCTTTTTTCCAGGAGGTTGATGTTAGTTTATATTTTAGTGAAGTGCTCAAGAATTTGATCAGTTTGATAGCAAACTTGCTCCTACGTGACTTTTTTTTGAGTTTGTGTGTGGAGTAAAATTTTTATTAAATCTTTAAATGACAGTTCAGTATTTGAATAAAACACCCAGTGTTTGTTAGGTCATACTGTTTTAAATTTTTAATTTTTAAGTTGTTTTAAGTTTTAAATGTGTTTGGTTACAGTTGCACAATTACAAACAGTCTTTGAAGAAATAGAAAATGAAAGTATTCTTGGCCTGGTTTCTCAATAATGTTCTATTTTAATGTCAGTCATGCCTTAAGCATTCTTACTGTATGTAGAGCTAAAGTTTAACTGACAAGATTTAGCAAAAATGCAATTAAATTAAGCTCTCACTCATGAAGACAAAAACAAAACTAAACGAGTTTGACCTGTATGAACAACATCGGACCCCTTTATCTTTCCATGAATGAATCGCTAAAGACAGTAAGTAATGCAAGTTTGGAATGGCATCCCATTGAAATTGAAAAAAAAAAAAATCTTCTAAACCTCAATACAATTTTATGTAGTAAACCCTGAGTATACCACTTTTGTATGTCTACAAAACAATAATATTAATAATAACAACAACAAAAATAATAATAAAACACTTTAGTTCTTTTAAGTTTGTGAGTGAGAAACTTATACAACCTCAGCAGCACTTTTTTTTTTATTGATCTACAAGAATGTCAATTTCCTACATTACATTATTGACAATGGCATTTATGAGAGAAGTACAGTATGCGTTTAATGCATTTGTAATGTACTGTATTTCACATCTGTGTACAGAGTACTTTTAAAATAATTGTTTATTCAAAGTCACTTAAGCACATATTTGAGAGATGTACTATTAATGGCATTATTTCTTGCAATGGTTTAACACATCTAAACAAAATAATATATTTGCACTACATTCCGCATATTTAAATGACAATAGAAGTAATTATGAAATTACATATAAGACGTACTTAAGTTCCTCTTAAGTGGGTCGAAAAACACTATAAAGTTTAACGTAAACAATCATTTATTTTCATTTAATTCCAAGTAACATGCAACTAAGTGTCCAAAAAAAAAATTACATTGTTTGTACTTAAGTACATTATTTTTAAATTATGTTATTTACATAAGTACTCTTTTTAAAATTATGCTAAAGTGTACTTATTTTTTTTCACAAGAGTGATGTTAGTTTACACACTGTAGTCAAGTGCTCAAAAATTTGATAAATTTTATAGTAGGCTTACTCTAAAGTGACGACTGATTTGTTTTTTGGTCTTGTGTCAGATTTTATTTGAGTTTGCATGTGGATTAACTTTAAGAAAAAAATTAAATGACAATTAATGATTTTTAAAACACCTGTGATGTGAAATTCCTACTAAATTCTAATTCCCTTCTAATTTTCATTTAATGGGTTTGGTTAAAATTTCAAGACAAACACTTTGCGTGAAATAAAATGAGAACTATTCCTAGTCTGGTTTCTCAATAATGTTCCATATTAAGGCTGGGCATACCTTAAGCATTCTTACTGTATGTAGAGCTGTAGTCAGTCACAACTGAGCAAACACGATTAAATTAAACTCTTATTTGTGAAAAAACAAAACTAAAAACAAAACTAGTTTGACCTGTATGAACAACAGTAAACCGCTTTCTTCTTTCAGTGTATGGAACACAGAAGAATGTAAGTCACACAGGTTTGAAATGACATTATTATGAGAAAATGAGACAATGTTCACCCCCCCCCCTTCTTCTGATGAACTATAAAATAAGTGCTGAAACAGGCACATTATCTCATTCACCTCCTGATCAAAGATGGATCTGCAAATCTCAGTTTTTCTTCTGTTTATTATTTTCACTGCAGGTACAAAATACAAATATCTACTGTAATGTTACTGGGTACAAATAAGATGTCTCTCACTTAACATCTCTGTCTTTTTAATTACTAAAGGACACTCTCTCAGCTGTTATGACTGCACAAGTCTGTCGGGCTCTTGTACCCAGACAAGTCAGTGTTTTACTGGATTTACCAACTGCTTCAGCGCAACAGTTACTGGTAAGTCCAGTATGATGGATTGAAAGGTACTATCAGGGTGCGAACTACGGGGGAGCTAGGGGGAGCTCGGCTCCCCTTAATAAGACATGGGCTCCCCTGAAAACGTGATTTGTGAAATTTTTGGGGGTCTCAAAAAATATTGACAATGTGTTATTTTGACGTGCAATTTCAGTTTTGTGTAATGTGATCATTGTGGATTATAATGTGTTAAATTGCAAAAATATCATTCATTCATGCATGACGGCGGTTTTTCTATTCTTGTCATGAGCATCAAGGTGGGGGGGCGCTGCGGTGCAAATTCCACTCATGTTTAGTACATGTTAACTCAAAGATTCGTAGAAAAAATATAAACGTTGGACTCTGTGGTCGATTCTGTGTTAAGGTAAGTCATGTTATTCGCAATTATGTGTTGTGGCTGGGTTGTTATAGGTCTGCGTGACTCTCGATGTCTTAGGCCTAATTGAACGGAGGAATTATGGTATTCTTCTGTAGCCTGACGACGAGTAACCGTTAAAGTAACCGTTGTTCATGTGAACTCAGACAGCCTGATGCTTTGTTTATAGACTATTTGTGGGTGGCTGTTTGTTGTTTCACCTATCAATTCGTGTCGATAAAGTATAATAGGGTAATCCTGTATAGTGATTTATCCTATATAGCGCTTGCATAAAGCAAGTAGTGCATACACTTGTAGCTGTTATGTATCCTTGTAAGTCATTGTAAGCCTTCATTCACGCGCGACCCCGAAAAAAAAACAAAAAAAAAATACAAGTGGGCTCCCCCAAAGTCCACGGTATAGTTCGAACACTGGGTACTATTATAATTGACTGACAGAACTACCGGTACTTTTCTGGACAGAATTTATAATTGCACACATAGAATGTTCTATATAGATTACTGAAATCATTATGATAATACAATTTGAAATTTAAGAATGTGTGAAATGAGAAAAACACTAAATTAAAAAAAAATTTCCTAGTGGTCTTACACCTTTGGACCTCATTCTTAGATCTCTAATAAATATTAGAGATGATTTAATATTGCAAAGTTTGTACGTTTGATACACTATTGGACATGCTTTCTGTGTTGACATATTTATAAATACATTTTCCATCAAAATAATGTTCGGTTGAGCTGCTCATTCCTGTATCACTCGTGTGTTTTCAGTCAACAGTACTACAGTGAAGTTTAAAAGTTGTGCTCCAGCTGTCTGTCCAAGTGGATCCATCAACCTTGGCATTGGAAAAGGCTCTTCTCTGTGCTGTAACACTGATCTCTGTAATGTCCAAGATGCTCCAGGTATTGTACTTTACTGTAATAGAGCAGTTTATAGAACATTTAACAAGAAAAAAAAAGAAGGATGTAATTTTATTTTCTATCAGGAATGTGACGTCAGCCGAAAACAAATGTTGCTTATACAGGCAGAGCAAATTGTTACTTTTTTTTTTGCGAAAGATCGAGAAGACAAAATGTTTTATCTTTGGTACAATGAGCACCTATAATATTGTGTGCACAGTAAGACCAGGACCATGTAAAGAAAGCATATCTATTTTCCCTCCTGTAGATCCCAGCACTAACGCTCCCAATGGAAAGACGTGTTACTATTGTGATGGACAGAGCTGCTTAAACACAGTGAGCTGTACAGGGAGTGAAGACCGCTGCTTTAATGCAACAGGTGAGAATCTGGAAAAGAAAGACGGTTCATTATCTTTCTCTCTGTTATTTAAACATTTGATACAGATCATGTATACCAGTGGCCAACTTGTCTCTGACTCAAACGGTTTTCTTCTTCAATCTTTTCATCAGTGACTATTGGAGTCCAGTCACAGGTTTTTAAAGGCTGTGTCTCTAAATCACTTTGTGATGCCACAACATTGATTCCTAGTGTAGGAAGTGTCTCATGTTGTGAGGGGAACCTGTGTAACGGTGCTAAGAGCGTCACTCAGAGCTTCCTGTTCCTCTGCTGTTCTCTGCTCTCCTTCATCCTGCTGCACTGAATCCAGCAGCTCGACACATTCTACAGCAGCAGCAAAGACACAATATTGTGTGCTTTACAAACATATAGCTTGTATTACCTCTGTACTATCTTTGATTTGTTGTGAAGAATTTAAAAAGATATACAAAATCTGATCATTTAAATATATATATATATATATATAT